TCCTCCTCCTCCTCCTCCTCCTCCTCCTCCTCCTCCTCCTCCCCCTCCTCCTCCGCGAGGTTCTTTGTGGCGGACGCCCACCTCGACGCCGACCCGGCGCGCACCTGCCGGCCGCGCGAGGCCGGCGGCGGCGCGGGCGAGGCGCTCGCGGCGCCCTGCGGGGTGCGGTGGCAGGGCCGGGCGAGAGGGGGGGGGATAGGGAGAGGGGGGGTTACACGTTGTTCATTTCTAATTTCGGGGGCGGCAAAGAGGGGGGTGATGACTGGGGGGGGGATATCATGGCGTGGGCCATGATATTTCCCCAGATTTCATGGCGCCTCTTCCTATTTCATCACGTCCCTGGCCCCCCCGCTGGGTTGCACGTTGTTCATGTCTGATTCTTCGAGATTCCTGCGGAAAGGGGGGGATGTAGGGAGAGGGGATATAGGCTGAGTGGCCCAGACGCACCTTATACTGGTTCCACCGACAACAAAAGCAAATAATGCAACTAATGGAGCACATCACCAGCATATAATACAACACAAGTAATACAACTACAGCACAAGTAATACAACAAATGAAACACCGATCAAAGCAACGAGTGCAAGTAATGCAGGGTCTGCCAAACAACTAATACCATAAATGCAGGACCAGCACAGCAACGAATGCAACTAATGCAGGGTCTGCCAAACAACTAAATCATTAATGCAGGACCAGCACAGCAACGAATGCAATTAATGGAACGTGCACAAAACAATTATTACAACTAATGAAGAATTACAGAACGTTTAATTCAACGAATGAAACATCACAAACAACCAATGCAACTAATGAGCACAACGCAAAACAACTGCAACAACCCTATGCCCTATGCCGCAACTGCAAGCAACTAATACAACTAATGCAGCGCCTGCCAAGTAACTAATACAACTAATGCAGGATCAATACAGCAACGCATACAACTAATGCAGCGCCCACAAAACAATCGTTACAACCAAGGAAGAACTAACGAATGATAAATTCAACGAATAAAGACATCACATCCGTACATACGACATACGACATACGACATACGATCAATGAAACTAACGAGTAGGATGCGAAACAGTTACAGCAAATAATACCAACAATTCAATCAACGAACGGGCCCGGCGCACCGCACGTAACCACAATCTTTGCATTCACTTCAGCACGTGGAGCACATCGTAGCGTGCCGACATGAGGACATGAGACACGATCAACGAGCAGGCTCCATGCCTCATGCCCGCATGGCCCATGTGTAATCACGCCGACTGGGCAAGTGGGCGTGTTGCGGAGGTCCTCGTGGCTACGGGCCCATGGGCCATGGGCCCAAAGGGGATTTGGGCTTGAGTTATAGGTCGTAGGTCCCTGGTCATGGGCTAGGTACAGGTTATAGGTTATATGTTATATGTCATAGGTTATAGGGCATGGGCATTGCCTATGGTATAAGATGTAGGTCGCAGGTTAGGCATATGTATAGTGTTGGTCTATGCTATGGGCCTACGCGGGCGAATGCCACAAGGGCACAGGGCCATGGGCAATTGGCGATAGGGCGTGGCAGTGAGACGCAGAGGGGCGCGCCGAAATGGGCGGGGAGACGCGCGTTTCACCGCCGCCTCGTTTGCATTCGCCTTGGCTCAAACATTGGTGGCTTGGCGGCCCCGCGCGCTGTCCACAGCTGCATGCTGCATGCTGATGGCGTGAGCGCGCGGATGGCTGCACGGAGCCGCACGCCGTCCTTGCGTGACAGGCGGCGGCGCGATGAGTTGTTGTCAAAGCTGTTCGAGTGGACGCCGCCCGAGGCTCACAGGCGGCCGAGGCCTTGCCATCCTGCGAGTTCGGGGCCTTGCCGTCCTGCGAGTTCGGAGCCTTGCCATCCTGGTGGCAACGCAAAGGTCACAATGCGAGTTCGGAGCCCTGCCATCCTGGCGGACGACGCCGCTGCCGCGGCGAGGGCGAGTTCGGCAGTTTCGCCCGGCCAGGGGCGCCGCCGCCGCTGGCTAGCTGCTGGGATGCTCGGCCGCACGGTTGACGACGACGGGGGCTCGGCGGCGGGATGCTGCTGCTGTTTTTCTGAGGTCGGGGGCCTGGGCGCAGGAATGGCCACCCGCGTTGATCTACTTCGATCTGGCCGTTCGGCGGCGGAGGTGGCGGACGAGGCCGTGATCGAGGCTGCTGGCGAGGAGAATGGGAAGGCCGCAGGATGCCCGTTGCTGGATGTGCCCGCTGATGACGTCGACGTCCACGAAACTCCGCCTGCTCACCGCCCGTCCGCCGGCGAAACTGCTCGGGCTGATCGCCAGCCAGCTGACGCGGTGAGCCGCGGCGACGCTGGCGACGCCCCTCCATCGGGGGCCCCAGATGCAAGTCAGGATTCCTTGGTGGCGCTCTTGGCCCAGTACTCATTGGTTCTAGAGTCGCCCGCTGATTCGCTGGACTCGCAGTGCACCCAGATCGAGCGCGACTTGGAGCTCGATCGCGTAGAGGCAGAGTCCCGCGCTGAGGCGCGTCGCGTTGCAGAGATAGGGCGTCTCGCTGCTCTGGAGAGCGCCCGGGGCGCCGAGTACGACAAGGCAATGCGACAGAACGTGCCCATACATTGGGGCTGCATCATGGGTGACGCGATTTTCGCCACTGCCGACGATCAGCTCTCCATCGCCATGGATGCGATTGACAGAGTTGGCAGCGCTGGGCACGACTTTTACGTTGGGGCCACTCGTTCACCGATTCATCGCTGGTTGGGCGGTGAGACGTCGCGGGGCTACATGGACGGGCATTGTGAATCCTGGTCTGCAATGAGACTCATCGGCGTCACATCTCCTGGAGATGGAGGCGTCATGGAGCGCACTTTGATACAGCATGCTAAGACTTACTCGTATCAGTGTCAGAACAAGGCTGATGACAATCGCGGCATGTCACCTCAGTATCATTGCTTCCTTTACGTCGTTTTCGGCGCTGTGTGATCTATGACTCTATGACCATTGATCTGCGATTGCTGTGGTTTCTTCTTTGATTATCGAGCACGGCTCTTCACTAGATTGTTTGTTTCATGTTTTCCGCAGGTTCCATTCTGCATGCTGCATGCGCGTATGCTGTATGCTGTATGCTGCATGCGCGCATGCGCGCATGCGCATGCGCGCATGCGCCTTGCTTCACGAGACCTCACCAAGTACATTCAGAATGCGTAGTGTCATAATGTCAGGCATGGCCAGGGGGCCTGCAGTTTGATAGATGTCTGCGACGCCGCGGCGCCCGCGGCATTTCGATCCGAAGGACAGCCGTTGAGCCAGCAGTGGCTGGGGACGCGAGACACAATGCAGTGAGGAGCTCCACGATCCGCCACCGCGTTGTTCCTGCCTGGTGTCTTGGGTATTCTGGTATTCTGGTGTCTTGGGGTATTTGGGTATTCTGGTGTCTTGGTATTATTGGGTCTTGGCGTCTTGGGTCTTGGGTCTGCTAAGAGTCTTTGGGTCATGTGTCTCGGGTCTTTGGTCTTGGGCCATATTTTATTCATGGGTCATGGGCCATGGGTGAGCCATGAGCCATGAGCCGCAAGTCATGCGATCGGTGTCTTGTGTCTTGGGTCTTTGGGCCGTCTCGTGATACTCGGCTATCTTTAAGTCTTGGTGTCTGGCATCTTTGTATCTTGGAACCTTGTGGTCTGGACTGGGAGATCTACTGCTCTTCTCATTGGACCGCATTGAGCCATCTGCCGTCTGCTGTCCGCCCCTCTGACATTTGGGTCATTTGCAGTCTTGGGACATTCGCATTGGAGCCATCCTGCGCCACGTGCCAAGTCACACAGCGCATCATCGCATGAACATGTAACAAATAGCCCGTGACTCATGACTCTCATGACACATGGCACATGGGGCACGCAATCACGCAAGGGCAAAATGCACGATGTAGGCGCAAACGCCGCACGCTACATGGTAGGGTCGCAGGGCTTTGAACATTAATCGTAGGCCATAGAGGTACAGCCTTAAACCATGACAACAGCAATCATATGACAGAACGGCAGCATCGTGCATTGGGCATTGGCAGCCATTTTGGCTCTGGTCCTCATGGCTCATGGACTTGTTGCCCGATTGCGAGTCGGGCCAATCAGGCCAAGAGGATGCGGACGAACGCCCAGCAGCAGGGGCCGCGCCCGATGAGGACGTCGCCGCCGTCGGCGGCGAGGCTGGAGGCGGAGGGGCTCGCTTCCCGCAGCGCCTCCCGGTGGCGGACCATCTGAAGCGGGTCAAAGATAAGTCTGCGCGTAGAGCTCTCACTCGTTTTTTCCAGGACGCCAACGCCGTGGTCTCTGAGGTGGCGTCGCGGTACACGAACGTGAGGCAGCAGTGGAATCGCCGCCAGCTTCGCGCTGGTGACCACCTTCAACAGCTTACCGCACCTGTGGCCCGCGCTACTAGGAGAGTGTGCGACGACGTCGGCGGGGGCCCCCAGGAGATCCAGTCGAAGCGACGTCGATTGCATGCGAACCAGTGGACACTCAGCGGCACGCTCCAATATGCCTTCTCCAGGATCGGCGGCAACTTCGCTGGACTAGCCAGGACCTCGCACCGGGAGCTTGACGCCGTCGCGACGACGGCGCTGTCGCACAGGTCCCGCCTTGGCGATCACATTCGCCAGTGGAGGTTGGCATTGGAGACGGGGACTTGCTCGGCGAGTTGGGCGATCGTCCACCGGGCTTTCGACTTGACCCCCATGACGTTGAACTTCGGCTGCTGTGCGGATCTGATTCGGCCAGTCGCCAGGTTGCGCGGGCCTTCACCCCAATCTTCCATGTCCACGCTTGCTACTTCATCTCCCCCTCGTCCATTGGATCCCTGGCCCATGACCCATGACCCATGATCCATGATCCGTGATCAGTGACCCACGTTTCGTGATGTCGTGATGTCATTATCCCTTTGGTCGTTTGCCCACTGTCCAATGCCCAATGCCAATGACAATTGCCCATGGTCCCATGGTCTGTTACCTGTTTCTTCTTGCCTCTCACCTATCACCTATTACCTTACACCCATTACTCTTACTCATTATTCACTACCCAATACTCGTCACAATGCTTCCAGGTTTTGGTGGCGGGACGTCGCCAAGTGCGCCAGCGGTGCGCCATCCGTGCGCTCGGAGCTGATTAGCTACAGCGAGTACCAGCGCCGCGGCC